GGGGTGGAGTGATCAGTAGTCGACGCGAGATGATTCCACAGTTTTTATCAAAGCGCGTGTGTCTGACGACAAGAACGATGACAAGACTCGGCTTGCACATGTGCGAAAGTCCATGAAATATAAGTGATTTGCACTCGGCAGACTAAACATCTGATGGCAGTCGTTTCCGTCACTGGTAGCGCGATTAAAAAGCGTCCCGCCATTCATTAGTCCTGGTGTAGTCAACGGATCGAAGCCTTGTTTTCGACAAAATTCACGGACCCTGTTTCCTCAGTCTGGATAGAATCTGAGGAACGTTGATTCAGAAGTCATAATTAAACTAAGACCTTGGAGGGCATTTGCGGAAAACTAGTCAAATTGGGGTTCAAATGCAATGACCCGTTTCTTTAAAACTCTAAATGCCTCGCGGCCACCCGCAAAGTATTGAAATATTTGCAACCATCATGCGATGGAATGTCTTAACCAGTAAAGAAATCATTTTCAGACATCAGGTATCATTTCTGATGATGAAGGCAGAGCAAACTTTACGATTTACAGGCACAAATCACCTGCTCGCGGTAAGAGTCTAACGGTTTCCCATCGCATTTATATTTCTACTCCTTTTTGCTTGGTAACCATGTATATCCATTCCATTCGTGAGTCTTACGACATATCACCATATACCTCCTTGGATTTTTAAACAAACTGAGGTCATCAGCAAATAAAATCTGTAGATTTCAATTTAAAAAATCTTTAGGTGTGGCACAACTCCTCATAAAAATATTTCATTGAATATTCGTTTGAAATTTTGATAATTTGTTTGTAAGCATTATTAGTTGCCCAGACGCTTTGTGATAGACAAATGCTTAAAGAATTGTGTACTAAAACTGAGACACGATTCAGTCTTCACGAAGCATGCTAGAATTGCATCTTAAAGGTTGACTTTGATTTAAAGGACTTCAGCTGAGGTACGCTCAATGATGACAACTTAACGCTTTTACAGTAACTCTCAAAAATTGTGGTCAGCTGTCCCCCCAAGCTGAAATGGATTTTGACAAAATTGTGCTAAGCCATTAAAATTCTGTGTTTCAAATTCTTTTCTATGCTGTATTCAAAATGCTATGAAGAAATATGTCATGATATGATTAAAGT